AGAGAGAGAGAGAGAGAGAGAGAGAGAGAGAGAGAGAGAGAGAGAGAAAGAGAGAGAGAGATTGTAGATATATTTTTTCATGGGAAGTTAACATATTGTGAAATAAAATACAAATGGAGATCAGACCTCCAGAAACTCCCCTAAGGTCCACCAAGCCTCAGGGAAGACTTTTCAACCATCCCACTTTTTTCCTGCTGCATTCTCTCTAACTGGAGGATCATTTTTTAGTAGATACTTTCTTCTTCCTACAGATTATTTATGTGTTTAGAAATCCAAAGGATGTCTTGGTTTCCAGCTATCATTTTTACAAAGTGCTAATCATAATGGAAACATCCAAACAGTTTGATGCTTACTTCGAGAGGTTTTTGGCTGGCAAAGGTAAGAACTTAATCACCATCAGGTTAGTTTTTGTTTTGGACAAGAGATATGAATGCAATCCACTTTCTGCAAGCAGAAAACAATCCATCCTCCTCCTTAAAGTAAAATAAGAATAATTATTTTCAATGCTCATTCAATAATTTGTGTAAACTATATGCAAATAGTTTATAATGGGATGGATGAGTGGAGAAGAATGAGGATTCCTAGAATATTTCGTGATGCAGAAGGGGGTGGGAGAGGCAGCTTCTTAAGGGAGCATGAAAGAAATACAAGGATCCAAATAAAGAAAAGCAAAAGAAACAAAACAATATAGCAACATCTTGACAAAACTCTCCTCTTAACAAGTGAGATTATCAACTAGTAACCAACAACACTAGACTGAACAACTGCCTCGATCTCATCTTCTGCAATAGTTTGAATTTAATTTACCGAATACAAACCAAAGAACCCTTTTCCAGTAGTGATCACAATATGATTGACTTTTGCCTCAACATACGTCCACACAAAAATCACCACAACGATGTCATCCCTAGTTGTAACTTCAAAAAAGGCAACTATGATCTTATAGATAACGATCTCTCATCCCTCGATTGGCAATCTCTATTCACTGGATGCAATACTGTTGAAGACCATTACAACATATTTTTACTTGAAGTCAAAAGAGTCATCAAACTATATGTTCCAACAACAACTCCAAAAACAAAACAAAAAAGCAGATTACCCATATCAATAAGGAAACTTCAATCCAAAAAGAGATCACTCTGGCGGAAAAACAAATCTGGTCACGTTGCTAATTTCAAAAACCGATATAAAAATTTATGCCACCAGATAAAGACCGAATGCACCAATTACCACATTAAACAAGAGGAAAACCTTCTAAGCACCAATTCCACCCGTGCTTTTTACAATTTTGTAAACAACAAACTAAAAGACTCAAGGTCCATCCCTCCCTTGATAGGACCTGATGGTAAAGACTGCAGCGACGACACCATTAAAGCCAACATCTTTAACACATTCTTCGGCTCAGTGTTTGTAAACAGTAATGGATCATGCCCAATGTTTCCTAGCCGTACCACAGACAACAATAATGATCTAATACATATCGATTTTACAGTAGACAACGTTGAAAAAGCACTACGCAACCTAAAACCATCTCTATCTATTGGACCGGATGGAATATGTGCCTACTTCTTAAGAAAACTATCCGCTGCCATAGCCAAACCTCTAAGCATAATCTTTGAAAAATCTTTCAGAACCAGCTCCTTGCCCAACCTATGGTTACAAGCCACAGTCATTCCCATCTTCAAAAAGGGAGACCCAAGCCTAGTTGAAAATTACAGACCAATCTCCTTATGCTGCGTCACCTGTAAAGTCATGGAATCAATTATTAACCAATCCATCATCCTCCATTTAGAGACAAACAACCTACTCTCCAATAAACAATTTGGTTTCAGAAAAAAACTATCCTGTAATCTGCAACTCTTACACTGCAAAAACATATGGACTACTCAACTCGACCAGGGCAAAGCAATAGACGCAATCTACATAGACTTCTGCAAAGCCTTTGATTCAGTGGTACACGACAAACTACTCCTAAAAATAAAATCTTATGGTATCTCTGGACAACTGAATAACTGGATAGAAGCATTCCTGTCAAACAGACAACAAATGGTCAAAATTGGGAACGCCCTATCAAATCCAGTACCTGTCAATAGTGGTGTTCCCCAAGGCAGTGTTCTAGGACCAACTCTCTTCATAATCTACATAAACGACCTTTGTGATCATATCAAGAGCAATTGCGTTCTCTTCGCTGATGATGTAAAGCTGTTCAATACCACAGACAATACTACTACCCTTCAAAAAGATCTAGACTATGTATCTGAATGGTCTAACATATGGCAACTCCAAATCTCAACAAATAAATGCTCTGTCTTACATATTGGTAAAAAAAATCAGAAAATAAAATACAAGCTGAATAGTCAAGATCTTGTTGATGACCCAAGCTCTGTAAAGGACCTGGGAATACTCACCTCTAATGATCTAAGTGCTAGAGCTCACTGCAACTACATAGCCAAAAAGGCATTAAGAGTTGTTAACCTAATCCTACGTTGCTTTTTCTCTGGTAATATCTCACTACTAACCAGAGCATACAAAACATTTGCTAGACCAATACTCGAATACAGTTCATCAGTCTGGAATCCTTATCACGTATGTGATATTAACACAATTGAGAAAGTCCAGAAGTATTTCACAAGAAGAGTTCTCCACTCTTCTACCCGTTATAGAATATTTTACGCCACCAGACTCGAAATTCTAAAACTAGAAAACCTCGAATTACGCCGTCTTCGGTCCGACTTAAGCATGGTATATAAAATCATACATTGCAATGTCCTACCTGTCAATGAATACTTCAGCTTTAACCATAACAACACAAGAGCACACAACAGATACAAACTCAAAGTAAACCGCACCAAACTTGATTGCAGGAAATACGACTTCAGCAATAGAGTGGTCAATGTCTGGAATACTCTACCCGACTCTGTAGTCTCTTCCCCAAACCCCAAAAACTTTAACCTTAGACTGTCTACTATTGACCTCACCCCTTTCCTAAGAGGTCTGTAGGGGGCGTGCATAAGCGCACCAACGTGCCTACCGTCCCTGTCCTATTGTTTCTCTTATTCTTTTATTTTTCTTATATGTACCCATTTCATATATTCACAACTATGTATACACTTGTACTTATTATCTTGTAAACAATTGACAAATCAAATAAATAAATAAATAAATAAATAGTTATGGCTCCCATTCCTTCTCTCTCCTCTCTGCATTCAGTGTTATTAAGGTGGCCTCTCCGCTGAGCTTTGATCTGTAGGCCCATCAGGTCATGATAAATGGAAGAAATTCAAGTATTCAGAAAGTATCCCTAAGACAGATTGTTAGCTGGAACATTGCAGTGCCCAACTAAACAATTAAATCAAGTGACTTTGAAGATCATATTTATGCCAAATTTATTTCTCTTCTATCAGTGCCCAGTAGTTTGTGGCTAGACCATATAGAAGGCTGGTGTGCTCATAAGAGTGATTTCAATATTCTCTTCCTTTCTTATGAAGACATGAAAAAGGTAAGATGTGTCCATTTTGCATTGTGCAATATGAACAACCATCAAGCATAGAAAGATTTAGAAATGATGGGATGTATAGAATAACTTATTTCATCAAGGAGTAATAGAGGTGACCACCGAACCACTCTTGGTTATTTCTGTGAACTCCTGGAGAACTGGTAAGGTCTCTGAAGAAACATAAGAGTCCCCTCTTCAACAGGAAGGAGGAGGATCCATGAAACTGGAATATGATCATCTTGGTATCAAAAAGATTAATAAAGGTCATTTTTGTGAGCATTTGATGAGATGAGCAGGATATGATTTTAATCAATAAAATGAGGTAAAATAAAGCAAAATAAATAATGTTCTCCTATTTTGGCTTAAAGAAGGTTGACTCAACTCAAGTGCATTTTCAAGAGAGACCAAAGCATTTATTTAGCTTGGTTGGAAAACTGATCAGCTTCTGTTGCAACCAAGATTGCTAAGAATGTAAGAGTCTGAATCATAAATATATTGAGAACCAAAACTGTTTCTCAACAACTTGTCTCTTGGAAACCCTTAGCAGCAGTTGTAAGAATGGATTTCTATGTTTAATAAATATTGTTCTTTAATATATATATATATATATATACAAATGATTTAATATTAGAATAATTGTTTTCAGTAAGAAAAGAAAGAATTAAAGGCAGAGAAGTCAGAGACAGCATTGATATGCAAGATATGTATAAGATAGTGATAATCTTTAGAATTCCCCAAATATATCAGCAACATTTTCCATCTTTTCTCCATTGTTATGAATTAACTAACATAAAGCTGTATCAAATTGCAGGATCTGAGAAGTTCTGTACTGCAAATATGCAACTTCCTAGGAAGAGAACTAACTGAAAAGGAGGTGGATGATGTGGTGGATAAAGCTACATTTGATAACATGAAAATGGATCCTAGAGCAAACTACAACTTAATGGCTCCTACCGTAGCAGATTCTAGCAAAGGGGTCTTTCTTCGTAAAGGTAAATTCATAGAAATTTATACTCTAGGTCAGGGGTGGGCAAACTTTTTGGTTCGGGGGCCTCATTGACTTTTAAAATTTGACAGACGGGCCGCCACCTGGTGTCGAAATGCCTGTCATTACAAGTCAAAATCAAATGAATGCAATCATTCAATCATTCACATCAAACCGTAATTCTGTACCAATCTTCGGCGGGCCGGATTAAAAAGACCAACGGGCCAGATGTGGCCCGCGGGCCGTAGTTTGCCCACCCCTGCTCTAGGTGTATGCTTATGGAATATGCCAACATTGTCACTTTTTGTAGAGTAGTATGTACATTTTCTAACAACTTCTCTTTCAGCTGTCTCTTCATGATGTTGCACTGAGGCAGCCATAAGACTTTCTTAGCTGTACCAGTGTTAAATTGGTGCACTCCTTTAAATCCTGATAGGTTTTTGCCATAGATATAATCTGACTATTTCAATGACCAGTCTGTTGCTTGAACAGTCTAATGATCCTTTAGGAATGCGATTGTTCTAGTTCATACTGCCACTTTAGCCTGTTGGAGACACATCTTCTTTACCACTGGTGGGATTCAAATTTTTTTACTATCCGTTCCGTGGGCATGGCTTGGTGGGTGTGGCAGGGGAAGGACACTGTAAAATCTCCAGTCAGAGGTGGCATTTGCCAGTTCTCCGAACTACTCAAAATTTCCACTACCGGTTCTCCCGAACTGGTCAGAACCTGCTGAATACCACCTCTGTTCTTTACTCTCTACCCTGGGTCTCAGAGCTGCCTCCTTTAAGCTGCAGGGACATGGCAGCATCAATCATTTCAATTAATCATGGGGCTGGTTCCAACAGGGTGAACTTCAGATCATTTAGAACTTCACTGGCAGACCATTGGTTCCATGACTTCCTGGTACAAGATACTTATCCCAGAGAAATCACTTGACCCCTTCTAGTTAGAGAAATCTTTGCCCTTATTTCAAGTCTTCACTCTGTAATCCAGCTCTAGTTAAAATAGTAAGGAACCAGCTTCCTGCCCAAAAATTAGAAATACAGATTTGTATATACTGTTTGATGGACAGGGAGGTATTAAACATTCCTCTGACAATGGAGGAATGTGCAATGTTCCAGGTTTTGCAAACTATTATCCTCTTTCTCAGACTCCAAGAAACCCATAGGAAGCATGGTAATTGGAGATTAGAAACCATATCTGGAAGACTTTTGATCTTCATCCCTATAGTCCCCTTGTGAAGCTCTAAATATATAAATGTATACAGTGTGTGTATGTGTGTGTTTGTGGTGTGTGTGTCTATACATACACACAAACATATTGTACATTCCTATACACATACACATTCATTTTGGTGATAAGATGACACAAATAGCCTCTAGTTTAATTGACTACAAAAACTGTTGACATTTTTTAACCACTACTTTCCAGGCATTGTTGGGGATTGGAAGAACCACATGACTGTTGCCCAGAGTGAAAAGTTTGACCGTGTCTTTAAGGAGAGGATGGAAAAGCTGCCCTTCAAATTCTGCTGGGATATTCAGGAGGATCCTCAGCCTATTTCCAGCTCAGTGGAGGAAAATAATGTGTGATATGTGCCTTCAATTGACTTGAATCAGAGATGACCTTCCAAGAATAGTCTTTATGTAGATGTTTAATTCTCAACTTTGCAGAGATCATAGAACAAAGCAATACTAAATTCTATGCCCGTGATGGTGAACCTATAGCACGTATGGCTCTCAGTGGGCCTGCACGCCTTCGCCAGCTGCTTTTCTGGTTTCTGGTCAACTGGTCTTTGCAGATGCTGGAGCGCCAGAAAACGGCCTGAAAACTCTTTTCCAGGCCGTTTTCCAGGCCATTTTCTGGGCCATTTTCTGGCCGTTTTTCTGTCCTTTTTCTGCCCTTTTTCAGGCTGTTTTTGAGCCATTTTCAGGCTTTTTTCATGCCATTTTTGGGCCAACAAAGCCCAAAATGCCCCTAAAACAGTCAAAAAACATCCTGAAAATTTCCTGAATAATGGCATGAAAATGTCCCAAAAACGGCCTAAAAACAGCCCAAAAATGGTCTGGAAACAACCTGGAAAATGGCCTGAAAACTGCCCAAAAAACAGCCTGTTTCTTGCAAATGACCCAGAAAACGGCCAAAATTGCCCCCCAAACAGCTTGAAAACAGCCCCCAAAACGGCTAAAAACTAGTCATGCATGCACCAGCCAGCTGGTCTTCAGCTTTCCGGCACGCACACATGCATGTGCATTCCAGTTTGGGCACTCAGTGCCAAAAAGGTTCACCATCACTGTTCTATGCTATTATTAAATATAATAGGAACTGCAGAAAATAGTTAATACTACATCTGTGACTATTGCAATTTCCATAAGAATATAAAATAAGATGCTTTGAACTGATTGTTGTTGAGTGTTAATTCAGAGACTGCAAAATATAAAACGTATCCTGTTAGTGTGCTCCCTGTGCCACTGGCATTTACATAACAATAAATAAAACCAGTTATTCTCTCTGTGTCCTTCCCTGGGAATTAAAGATGGACTATTCACAATTCCACAGTCTGACTAGTGGGAATTGCAGGATGCATTCTGTGTTTTCCACTGCTCTAATCATTAAAATTACAATGTGGTTTACAACAAGGATAAGTCTGAAGAAATCAGTTTCTTTACCAAAACCCCAACAACAGGCTTTGTTGCATTCTGTTAGCAGAGGTTTTGGGTTGCCTCATATGTTGATGGTGTCTAACTATGTGATTTGTAGAACGTTATTAACTGTTATTAACTGTTATCAGAGGCTGCTATATTATTTTCAAATGCACACAGAAGTTTAAACTGTTGGACTTCACAATGTAGTTGACACATCTAGAACTCAGCATGTGGGCAGAATTACTTTAAGTAGACCCAAACATGAATTCTGACATGGCTCACGTGCCCTGGGCATGCCTGTCATAAACATGCCTGTGCAGAATCATAGCTTTGCATTTATCCATAAGAAGACTGAAAGGGGTGGAGTGAAATTTTATACAGGGGGAGGGGACACGAAGGAGGAAGTTGTTTGTATGTAAAACTGAAACGAAAAACTGCAAAACAAGTTAAGACTTAGCACATATAACACACTGCCGGGAGAGAAGTTGGGTCATAAAGGAAGTCAGCTAAGCAGTAAAAAGCTTTCAAAAGAAATCCATTCAGCTTCCCCCTCAAACAAACAAACGAACAAAAAAACTCCTGGGCGATTCTTTTTCTCTGCTCTTCAACCTGCCTGTCATTCATCAAGGTAAGTCACACATTTTGACATTCTCTTTACGTTCATAGTAAATTTAGCAAATTAAGTTATTAAAGGGGAGGGAGATTGGAGGGCAGAGGCGGAGAGTTTAGCTTCAGCACTAAATTGGGGGAGGAGGAAGGGAGAAAGATCAAGTTTTTTTTCCTTCCAATGTTTTTGCTTTGTTTTGTTTTGTTCATTAAAAAAAGGTGGGTTTGTGGAGGGAGGAGCTAAAGCAAGAGAAAGGTTTTTGGACAGCTCGTCTGGGAGCTGCCACCCTCAATGCATGGAGCTTACTTACCAAAATCAAAAGCTAGGGGAGGCCTGTAGTCTCCTTAATGCCAGCTGGTCCTGACAGAGACCTTGCCCACAAGCTAGCTTCAAAGGATCAGGGCATCTCATTTGCACCAAGCACATAAGCTTGTTTGGGAGCCCCTTTGGCAGGGGTGTCAAACTCGCATCATCACGGCAGCATCATGTGACGTATTGGAATTTCCCCCTTCGCTAAACCAGACGGGGCCAGCACGTGACGCATCTGGGCCGCGAGCCGCAAATTTGACACCCCTGCTCTTTATTTATTCATTTTTATTTATTGAGTTTATTTAGTTTAGTTTGTCAAGCATGTTTGTCAAGAAAGCAAGTATAAGTATATAAACATGTAAGTATAAACAGGTATAACTATATACATAATAAATGAGTACGAATAAATGGGCACAGTAGGACAGGGAAGGTAGGCACACTGGTGCACTTGTGCCCTTACAGACCTCTTAGGAATGGAGTGAGATCCACGGTAGACAGTTTAAGGTTAAACTTTTGGGGGTTTGAGGCTGTAACAACAGAGTCAGGTAGTGAGTTCCGGGCATTGACCACTCTGTTGCTGAAGTCGTATTTTCTGCAATCGAGTTTGGAGCGGTTTACTTTGAGTTTGTATCTATTGTTTGCCCGTGTGTTATTGTGGTTGAAGCTGAAGTAGTCATTGACAGGTAGGATGTTATAGCAGACAATTTTGTGTACTAAGCTTAGGTCAGACCGTAGGCGGCATAGTTCTAAGTTGTCTACATCCAAAATTTCAAGCCTGGTGGCATAAGGTATTCTATTGCAAGCTGAGGAGTGGAGTATTCTTCTTATGAAATACCTCTGGACTCATTCAATTGTATTAATGTCTGTTATACAGTGTGGATTCCAGGCAGATGAGCTATATTCGAGAATTGGATTTTGCATTGGAAGGGGATGCTCATGTCCTAATTTAGCCAAGCTCTTCCCTCCTGCTTGGCAGTTTTGGGCTTCACAAAGCTTTTTGCTGTATCTGCCTCCTTTTTGGACACAGCTGGGTGGTGGACTTCCTCCAGCTTTTGTGCTCCGTTTATCAACCTACATGGTTACTTAATGGCTGCACCTGAGAAAGCCAGATGTAGTTGAGTTAGGTCAAGTGGTAACTCAACTTATGATCGCTATGAGTTATGACCACAATTCCAGGCACAGTTATAGCTGTAAGTCAAGGACTATCTGTATACACACTTACTACTGGGCCATTCTTTTCATAGTTCTATGATTTTCTTACATTGGTCTATGTGTCACTGTGAGCAGGATTTATATAGTTTTAGGACTTTAGGAGATGGCTCCTTTTCCTCCTTCTCCCTAGAGACATTGTCCACATGGATTTTCAAATGGGGGTTATCACTAGACAAACAGAGCAGGTTCTGCCTTTTCATAGGGAGACCCCACTTTATCAAAACAATCTAATAAATTGCTTTTAAATGATCTTCCAATTCAGTTGCTTATTAGAAGAGGTAAGCTGAGACAAAACCTAGGGCCAGCTTTGTCCATCAATACATTGAGGATCTGAGGGTCTGGCCTATTAACTTATTGTCAAACTATTAAGTGCAAGTGTGCCATGTTAATCACTCTATTGCTGAAATTAGCAGTCTAATTTAGTACTAGCTTTGGTATCTGTTAGCAAAGAGTTAAGGAGGCTGACCACAAGTGCTTCATTATATAAAAAATGTCAGTCTAGCTGGCAGGTTGTGGCTGAAGAATTGTGCAAGTGGGCCCCTTGCTAGAACAGGGAAAGATAACATGGCATTTAGCTTTAGTGCTGTCAAGATTGTCCAGGCAAAGTCCAGAGGTAGAAAGTTAATCATTGACATGTTAAAAACACATTAGAAGTGAAGAACTTGGGTTAATTAAGGACTCTATGCTTATTATGGGATGTTACATGTCTTCAATAAATCAGGATCACATGATTAAATATAAGGAAATTCTGATGTATATTTGTGGTTTTCTGGTATAAAAATAGTTTGTTTCATATCTGCTGGCACACTTGGATCCCAAATGTGTATTTTTACTTCTGTGCAGAAATAAATTATGAGATCCTAGTGTCAGCGTTCCAGGGAACATCAATTTCTGTCAGTAACTCCAAGATAAGCATAATCTCAAAATTACTTTTATTAGAATAGCACCTGGCACATCTGTGGAATTCCGAAACCAAAGTTTCCCGGCTTCCCCACAATGTCCCAACCTACAAACCATCCCCTTTTTACTCATTATCACATCACATGAACCAATCCCAAAGTAAGTTCCAATTCTTTCTGAGCCACACTCTTTAACCTTGAACTATCAAAAGAATTATATTTTGTCTACCAAGAGCTACTCAATTAACATCACCCCCTCCCACTTTCTCCAGCTATGTGGCAGCAATGAATCATGATTTTATAGCTGACACCTAGTTTCCTTTACTCAGCATGATATTATCATCCAATTGTGCCACATAAAATAAACCCAATGATGGACGATGCCGGATCAGACCAGTTCCAGAGAACTGGTAGTTCTGACAATCAGCTGCCCTCTGTCCTATATTTCTGTCTTTTTCAGCTCATCATATTCACGCGGCACAGAACCGGTTGTTAAACCGGTTGCAGCCCATCATTGCTGGGCCAACACTTTCTAGGGGGAAAGAAAGGACCAATAACTAAACTAAAAAAAACCTTCCAAAAATCATCAGAAAAAAGATAACAATAGCAGCCTATTTTAAATTTTGAAAAATTATTCAACCCAATTTTAAAATGTGCTGTTCACATGTTTGACCACACAAAATAATATTGTTCAACTTTTTAATGATACCATGTGCCCATTTATATATGGAAAGGAAACATATATAATTAATATGGAAAGGAAACATATATAATTAATATAAGATTTAATCCTGGTATGCACAGGGGTGGGATTCTACCAGTTCTGACCAGTTCTATAGAACCCCTTTTTAACTTTCTAAGCAGTTCAGAGAACCGGGAGTTAGAAGAAATCTCCTTTTGTTTTTTTCCCCCACCCTTATTACATTCTTGGCAGCATGCCTAGACTTACTGTCTCCGAAGGAGGTTTTCTTTCTTTCTTGATATTTTCTTAAAAGGGAAGGGTTGTTTTAAGCTTTTTACACTGCTGTTGGGAGGAAATACTCCCCTGGAAATACTTCCAGCTTCATGCAATGATCAGCACTTTGAAGAAATAATTAAATAAGGAAGCAGAGCTGTGGAAAGAAGCTTTTTAATGACAAGGAACCAAGATGAGTAACATTCAGCAAGGCTTCTTGGCTAGCTAGAAAGATTGACATTCAAACGTGAGTTTACATACCCTTTCTGAGTTTTGGTCTAACACTGGTTTTTGGTGAAGTTTAATTCTGTGCTTGGTGATGTTTAATCCTGTGTTTATTGATGGGATAATTTTCCCTATTCAGCTTTGTTTGGAAGGAAAAAGTTTAATCTCTGATCCTGAAAAGAAACTGGGTTGAGAAATCTGGCTAGTTCCCATGTTTGATTTTTTTTCCTGCCTCATGGTTTCTTGTTCTATCTGGGGAGAGGGTCTTTCTTCACTGCTTTAGTGGTATCTGGCACTGTCCTTTTGGGATGTACTTCCAAGAGGCAGGATGCAAGTTTGGCATTGATTTTTTTACTGCTTTTCTGGGGGGCATCCTTAAATCTGGGTGATTTCTATAGGATATCTTGTGAGGTGAGTGAGACCAGCTGGTATCTTTAAGTGGTGCAAATGGATCTAATGATTGCTTTTCCTGGGTGTGCTCTTTCTGGAGAACTTAAATGACGTCTCTGCTAAAGGGTTTCACTTTATGAGCAAGAGTTGGCTGCTGATAGTTATCATTGCATTTTAACTATTTTAATTCCTCAAGGTGCTCTGGCATCCTGCCTGATTTGTAACTCTGGCTTGCAGGTATTTTTAATCTAATGATTGGTATTTAGGGCAGCTTTTTGCAAGCAAAGAAGCTTTTTGTATTTTTGTACAGGTAATCATTGACTTACAACAGTTCATTTAGTGACCATTCAAAGTTACAATGGCACTGAAAAAAGTGACTTATGTCCATTTTTCACACTTACGCCTGTTGCAGGATCCCCACTGTCATGAGAAGCCAGGTGAGGAGAAGCACCCCTTGACGTGAGTGACGTCGAGTTGGCCATGCCCACCCAGTCACATGACCACCAAGCCACACCCATCAACTAAGCCATGCCCACAGAACCGGTTGTTAAAAAATTTGAATCCCACCCCTGGGTATGGACAATAAGATCTGCATTCCACACTTGGTAAATCCATAATTCTTCATATAATGATATATTCCAAATCCTTGGCAAATAGAAGTATATTTTCATATTTAAAAAATATTGATATTTAAAAACACTTTAATAAATATATAGGTACTAGTCTAAAATAAAACAAGAGTGATGTAAGTCTACATCAGATGAGAAAGTGCCCCTTCTTCTATTTTAAACGACGAAATGATTTGCAGGTTAATATTTAAAGCTTTTTTTTCTTTCTTTCTTTAAAATAAAATTTTACTTCATTGTCTTTTGTGGGATTGCTCTTGCTCTCAAGAGGGGGTGGGAGAAATGAAAGGTTGATTACTCCTGTCACATGCCTCAATGTTATATGGTCTGAAAGTGGTGCTGTAGACGTTGTTCCATTTATCTCTTTTTGACTTTGTTTGCAGCATAAATTCAAGTCCAGAAAACACACAAATGATTGACTTAGCAGGATTCATTAACTTCCTTTTATATAAAATAAGTAAATGTACAATACCAGTAATTTCTTCCAATGTGGAAAGGTTACAAGAAAACACAAACAGAAGCAGACAAGCAAAGTCAATGGGGGAGCCAGATTCGCTAAACCGTATTACTAAATTATCAACCGAAATGATTCACATAACAACTGTAGTAGGAAACGTCATAACTGGGGCAAAAACTCTTAACAAATGTCTCACTTAACAACAGAAAATTTGGGCTCAATTGTGGGTTGTAAGTTGAGGACTACCTGTACTATCAGAGACTATGTAAAGTAACAGAAAAAGAAAAGAGAATTGCAACTCTTATGTTTTTTAACATTGTAATTAAAATTTCTCTTCGAAAAAAACTCTTAGATGCCAAAGAAGAACAGCAAATTTATTCGTTGCAATGGGAATTTTCATGGGTGTAAATTAAGTTCCAAAATTAATTAATTAATTAGGAAAACTAATCTAGTAACATATTTTGTTTTAATTTATGTTGCCAAGAAGCATGGTTTTTTTTTAAATAACTGAATTAATACGTGTCATAAGTGTAAAAATGATTGTCAATTACTCTATTATTTTATCAATAGATCCAATAATGGAGATAGTAGATAAGTACCTATGTAAATACAAAGGATTTTACTTTGTACAAAACCAGACCTCAGCTGAAAATATCGATTCAATAGAAAGTTTTGAAATCCAAGATGATGATATATTTATAATCACCTATCCTAAATCTGGTAAGTTCAAGGATATCTTCTGAGGAACACTTAATCTTTTATCCAGTGCTGTTATTTAATTCAGTATTTTGTTTGCTGCAACTGTGCTATACTATAATCAGATTTTAATGTTTGGCATTTTATTAGACACTGGAAATATAGGTAAAATAAAGCTGCTATATCTGCTATTTATTTTACTTTAAAAAGCTAATTTTCTTTCACACATGCATCAACTATTTAAAAGAAACTATTGCTTTTATGTTCTCTGAAACATTTATTATTCTTCCTGACAAGAAAGATTTCTCTATATAACTTCAGTATTCTACAAATAATGATGGCTCTGGGTACATTAATTTAATTATTTCTTATTTGCAGGCACAGTGTGGACTCAGAACATTGTGAGCTTGATTTTGTATGAAAGTCATCGAGATGGAACTGAAAATATTACCCTGATTGACAGAATACCATGGCTAGAGTATAATATTTTCCAGGTAGATTTAACTAGTCGCCCATCACCTCGTGTCACTTGCTCCCATCTGCCCTACTATTTGGTACCCAAAGGATTACGAAATAAAAGAGCAAAGGTAGGACCTATTTTGCTACATTATGGAATGGAATGGGAAATTGTCAGTCTTCAATTCTTTTAAGCTATGTATCTGAATATTTTAATAACAAGTGGGCAAGGACAAAGAAACAGATGCTATTTTGATCCACAGTATTTGGTGGATGATAACAAAATTTGAAGCCTGAGCAAAAATAATATCTCAAACAAAACAAGTGTTAAAAATGGGATATCATGCAAATCAGAAATAGGCTAAGAACCAAATTGAAGATTCATATACAGAAATATTTACACCTTATGCTTATTTTTACCCTAATGACATTTCCAAGTGGAATGTAATGAATGATCTCTACCATACCCCCAGTTGTAATCTTAACATATCCAGAAGATGTTACGTTGATGAATATACATCCTCCACCTTTATTATTTTTACAAATAACTCAAGGCAACAAACATATTCAACATACTTCCTCCTCCTATTTTCCCCACAACAACAACCCTGTGAGGTAAGTTGGGCTGAGAGAGAATGGCTGCTCCAAGGTCACCCAGCTGGCTCTCATAGCTAAGGTGGAACTTGAACTCACAGTGTCTTGCTTTTTAGTCTGATGCCTTAAGCACTAAACCAAACTGGCTCTCATCCCTTCAGCCATCAAATCTCTTCAGAGGAGAGGGCTACTCTCAGTCACTCATGCCCTAATCACCTCCTTGATGAATGACTATAACAGCTTTAATATGAAGATGCTTTTTACAATGGCCTTTGAAGGTGATGAGATGCTTCAGCTGCTGCAAAATTAGCACCATGGGATTTTGTATGTTCTCCAAGAACTGCATACGTTACACTCCCACTTTGCAATTTGCATTGGCTACCAGTTTGCTTCCCAGTCCATTTCAAGGTGTTAATTATGACCGTTAAAGCCCTTCATGAGTTGGGAACAGGTTATTTGAAGGACCTCCCCTCCCCTATTCAAGTGAGCTGGAGAAACATGGAGGAACCTGTGAACTAGGGAGTTTTGTTGGGCAGGTTCTAGATAGAAAGCATTTTCTGCTATGGCCCCTGTCCTATAGAATGGAATGGAATGGAATGGAATGGAATTCTTTATTGGCCAAGTGTGATTGGACACACAAGGAATTTGTCTTGGTGCAAATGCTCTCAGTGTACATAAAAGAAAAGATACATTCGTCAAGAATCATAAGGTACAACATTTAATGATAGTCATAGGGTACAATGAGCTATCATATCATACTAAGAAACAATATGATTTGATTGCTTATGGAAGGAACCTCATTCTCCCCAAGGTGAGACTAGCCATAGCCTTCTGGGAAGTCCTGAAAACATTGTTTTACCAATAAGCTTCCCATGACTGGTTGTATAAGGGTAAATGGATGCACTTTCTGTATGCTGGCAGTGTGTCTTTTTTCTTGTTTTTATTTCCTTTTTTTTTTTGACCTAGGTATTCTTTTTCTGCTACAGATTATTTATGTGTATAGAAATCCAAAGGATATCTTGGTTTCTATGTATCATTTTCACAAAATTTCAGTCACATTAGAAACTCCAAAAGACTTTGATACATTCTTGGAGAAGTTTTTGGCTGGCAAAGGTAAAAAGATCTTGATTGTGATAATGCTTGTCATTTGTTTGTCTTGGATAAGAAAGTATGGATATATATTTCAATCCACTTCCCATGTGGAGCAAAGAATCCACCCTCTCCTCTCCTCTCGAATAAGAGAAGGATAATGATTTACTCATGCAGCACTTTGTATAATTCTTAGACAAACATGAATATATGGAGAAGAATAGAGGACTCCAAGGATAACTCATGATGTAAAAGTGACTGGGAAAGGCAAGAGAAGGCACTTTATTAAAAGACGGAGACAAGAAATACTAGTATTCATTTAATGTTGAGAAAAATGGAGATAAGTTGTTTGGTGGTTTAAAATGTGTTGGGAATGGAGGGACAGAATCTAAAATGAACAAAAATCAATATTCATTTGGAAGTATGAGTTATCCCATTTTTTTTTAAAAAATGTAATATTTAAAGAACCAAATACTCTCTAAAAGTGTAATCCCGTGAGCCAACCCATCCAGTGTTATTAGGATGGACCCCTCAATCATGCTTTGAACTGAAGGCCTCCAGGCTCATAAGGATAAATGGAGGAAATTCAAGCATTAAGAATATATATGTATATGTATCTCTTAAGACAATGTTAGTTGGAACACTGCAATTGAACTAAATCAGGTGAACTTTTAACATTGCTCTCATGTTTATGGTAAATTCATTTCTCTCCTATCAGTGGGCAATAGTTTGTGGCTAGACCATATAGAAGGCTGGTGCACTCATAAGGATGATTTCAATATTCTCTTCCTTTCTTATGAAGAAATGAAAAAGGTAAGTTGGATCCATGTCATGTAGTGTAACATAACTATTAAGCTTTAGAAATGATGGGATGTTAGGAATAACTTATTGCAGAAGGAAGTTACAGAGATGATTACAACAACACTCTTGGTTATTTTTGTGAAATCCTAGAGGACTGGTAGGTTTTGAAAAATAGTAAGTGCCCTCTCTTCAAAAAGAAGGAGGAGGATTCAGAAAATTAGGCTTTTGCCACCTTGACATCATGTTAATAAACAGTGTACACTCAGAAAATAAGGCCGGCCCTTATTTGCTTTTGACCCCTGAAAAAATGGCTAGGCCATCTTTTCAGGGGTGACTTAATTCCCCTCCCCATGCACCCTTGCCTAGAGCACCCAGCGAGTAGCCATGCCTCATCACCAGCTACTCCTAATGGCTGATCATGGCAGAGTGCAGAGAGCCTGCCAAGCGCCTTTGCTGCAGACCCGGGTATGGTGCTGGCTGCAGGCAGGGTCAGTGGACAGGTGGCGGCGGTATGGAAGACAGCCTCAGTGGCGGTGGGGCACTTTGCGTTGCGGAACCTTCAGTGGCCACTGTTGCAACTTCCTCTGCCGCCGTTGCTTTTCCTTCTGCCCTTGCCACGGCTTATGCCACGTTCAGAGTGCGGCCATTGGGCAAGACGCAGAGGCTGGAGTGCCTGCTGGACAAGTTTGGAGTGGTTTACATTAATAATTACATTTATATCTGTTGTGTGCTCTTGTGTTGTTGTGATTAAAGCTGAAATATTCATTAACTGGTAAGGCATATGCTTAAGTCCAATCTTAGCCGGAGTAGTTCAAGGTTGTCTAAGCCTAAAATCTCAGGTCTGGTGGTGTAGGGTATTCTGTTGTGAACAGAGGAATGTAGTACTCTTCTGGTGAAATACTTCTGGGCTCGCTCAATTGTATTTAGGTCTGATATACAATGTGGATTCAGAGAGAGAGAGGGAGAGAGGGAGAGGGAGAGGGAGATGATAGATGGATGGATGGATGGATAGATGGATAGATGGATAGATGGATAGATAGAGATAGATAGGTAGGTAGGTAGATAGATAGATAGATAGATAGATAGATAGATAGATAGATAGATAG